GAGAGAGAGAGAGAGAGAGAGAGAGAGAAAGGAGCACCAGTGCAAAAGGGAAGGGCCAGAGGGAGGAAAGGCAAAGGAATATAATAAGGAGCACTGGATGACCAGTGTGAAAGGGAAGGACTTACAGGGAGGCAAAGTAAGGAGTGAAGCACCGGATGACCAGTGCGAAAAGGAAGGGCCAGGGGGAGGAAAACGTAGTGCCGGGAATGGCGCAAAATAGAGAAAAACGTTTAAGTTCAGTGCGTTGCTTTCGGGTTCTAGGAAGAAAAAGACTAATTAATTTTTAAATGGCTTAATTCGTGCTTACCGTTTATAATCTTGCAGGCTAACAGCACCGATCTGATCATCGACGTTGATCAGAAAAGACTGAATAAAAAGCGCCGAAATCGGCGCGTTTATATACGAGTAACTTGATGATTGGGGCGTAAAGGGAGGCCCAATTTCCACGGAAAATAGGCCATAAATCATCAATTCGAGCTGTCATCTAACTTTTGACTTACTGGTCAGATTGTCACGAAATTTAATACAGTGTTAAACTATTTTACTTATATTTATATTCTGCAATCGCTTATTTACTAATTAAAAGGAGTAATTAACGCTGCAAAATAATTAGTTTTTATGCCCATTATTCGCTATGCACAATGGAATTCCGCAAGTTTTTCGCAGAATTCCATTGTGCGCGCCGCACGCTGTGCGCACGCGGTCGCATTCCGCGCGCGTCAATACCGAAACACAATAAATGTAGTAAGCCTTAAGCCTTAAGAAATTAATAACAAATCGCAATCGAATGTAAAGAGAATAATCGATTACGTCAATTTCTTATGGCTTAAGGCTTACTACATCTATTATATTTTGGGATTCACGTGGGCGCTTATACGCGGCCCTTTAATTTTATCACTATACTATCTTCGTGAAAATGAAATGACAGCTTGGTTATATTTTATTCTTTAATTTATTATTATTGGGAATCTCAGAACAGTGCATACGGAGCTCATAAGAGATCCCGAAGCATTTAATCATCAATTGATCCTTATAACAAAAGAAGAAAAAAGAAAAAGAAATGAAAAAATTAATCAAACGCTCCCAATCATCAAGTAAAAGGTCGTAATAAATAAATATAATAACGCTACATATAGCACAGTACATTATGTAGTATATTGCAGAACGCGCGTGTGTTCCACGGAAAGGAACGAAATGGAAAAGGAAAAAAAGAAAAGGAGGATATATGCATTTTCGTATAGGCGTCAAACGTGACAGTTGATTTGTTTTTATTATGGTATTTGCATTGACAATTTATTTAACTGATCAAAAAAGCATATATTTCGCGAAGTAATTTGGCTCAAACCATACATTAATTAAATTGTAAATTATATAACAAGTGGAATTTTAATATTTAAACTAATATCTTTTAAATCCTCAAATTCGCGGTAATCCAAGAGAGGAAACTGGTTACTTTTGTGTACACGTCTGGGTCTGAATTTCCGCAAGCATTAGTAAAGGAATAGATTCCAATTTGAACTGAAGGACTACCACTTGCCACTAAAGGACTACCATAATCATCCTGAAATAAAAATGTTTATCACAATAAATTATTATTATATTAATTATAATGTAAAAAACATAATCAGTATATATAGAATAATTTTTAACATTATAATATAATATTTATATTTTTTTAGAGATATAAAGGTTTGGGTATTATAAGCTGTAGATATGAGCACCGTTTATACTTCTGCGATAGTTCAATCGATAGTTCAATGGTATAATAGTTCAATCTGCTGTAAAAATGTTGCATCTGTCTCTACAACATTTCAGTATGCTGCGGGATTTACACTAATTTTATTTATTTTGGAAATTTATCAAATTAAATAAGCAGGTACGTTATTTTCTTATTTTTTATCCATAATTTCATAAAGTTTCCAACCTACATTGAAATAAGGTATCTTGTTCTGCATGTTAATATTTGTCAAGTAAACAATATTTAGTCGTTCTAATCTCACAAGACTATTACTAGTTTGATAGATACGGGGTTTTTTCGAACTGAATGCATGGTCGTCTAATTATGAGAATATCATGAGTTCATAATAATCTTACGGTAGGTTAATATAAACACCGTTCCTTTGGCGAATTGAAAGTAAGTCATTTTTTGTTACTTTAATTATTATTTTAAACTAACAGTGTAGAATTCTAATAAAAAAAAATTTTTTTAATGTCTGATAAATTTTGGATACAATGTATGATATGCAAGCAATGGACCCATCTAGAATGTGCTAGGGTCGACAAAAAAGTCATTGTTTACGTTTGTGATTATCATTAATAGTTCAGTTTGTAATAAGAGAATAATTACATTTTTAATATTTATTTTTGTCGGAATGTTTCAGTACCGTTTAAGTAAAAAGGTATTTTATTTTGTACTAAAATGTTAAATGTATTTAGAAAACAAAATGTTTAATATTATCTTTTATTAAATTTAATAAATTATATGTCTTTTTTCTTTCAAAGTATACGTTTGATCATTTCGTGATAAGAAAAGAACTGCATTTTAAACGTTTATATTATTAGAATGTTTTAATACTGTTCAGATAAAAGATATTTGTTTTCTATTAAAATGTTAAATGTTTATTCTAATAAAATATTTTAAATATTATCTTTTATTTTTGCATAATTTTTTCCTATGCTCATATTACATTTAGGGATACCTGTACTAGCCTAAAAGTTAATATGAGCATTAATTGGATAGGAACTCTCCCTTCGTTTCAGTTATTTACATTGAATCGATCAATTCCAATACCAAAATACATGAAACACTAACAGACCTAACAAACGGAAAAAAAAATTTGTTTATTCTTCAGTATATAAAAAATATCAAAACATTTTCTTAAGCTGCTCATTATACCCAATCCTACCCTATTAAAAATATGTATGTATCGATTTGCATTAAAGCAGAAACTTATCAGCATATTAGTAGGCGCTTTTAATGACAATCATTTATATTATTAATATTCTTTTAACATTGTTAATAAACAAAAATATATAGATGTTAATGCACTTTAAGATATTAAGAATAACTTGACTTACGTCGCACGGTCCACTGTTGTTGCGAGCCACAGCGCAAATATGACTATTTGTCACTTTCCAATATATTTCCTCACATTTTGTTTGCGATTCGACTAGCAAATTAATTACTTTCAAGCTGTTCGACATATTTCCACCATTCTGAAAAGGGTAATTGCATCAAAATATCACTTATTATTCCTAGCTTGTTATTATATATATAAAATGGAAATAATATTAAATGTCTTTAAAGGATATATGATTTTTTAATACAACTGGAAAATCTTCGTATCACGAGTTTATCTTACCCTTTTACTTTCCCATCCGGTTAACGTGCACTCCAGGCCTGTAATAATTTCATCGGATTTCGCAAGATTTATCGGTTGCACTAACTTGTTATATTTGATAGGACTTTTAAGATGAACCAAGGCGATGTCATTAATGAGAAAATAATCGTCGTAATTTTGGTGAACGCTAACATCGGCTACGTCATAAACAAACATTGATTCGTTTAATAAGTTTGAACCGACGTGAACCGTTAATTCGTCCGGTGAACATTTTGATCTAACAACAAAAACAGCGCGTAAGAACTACTCTCAAACTTTCAAAAATAGTTAAAATTGATTAGATATATATTTTGTCAATAAAATACCAGCAGAAACATAATAGAATTTGCTAATAAAATATAATGGATTAATTGCGAAAATTAAACATCAGAATCTTCCGTTTAGCAACAATTTAAAAAACGTATTACGTTTAAATGTTTTCAAAATGATAAAATCTGTTCGATTTCTGTCGACGGTCTGCTGTTAAATTATATCGACATATATTGACATACATCTGCTGTTAGATTATGTCGACATACATCGACATACATCTGCTGTTAGATTATATCGACATTCTTGATGAAATGCGAATTTAACGTGTATCTAAATGATATCGAATGTGTATTGTAATATTTAAGTAAATTTGCTGCTAATTTGTCATACAATGAGCAATTTGCTTACTATAGGTACGAGTATATACATTTCGTACATCGTGTCGATTTGACATATATATTAAAAAACTAGTTTTAAAATTAGATCTACTAATAATGTATTGATATAGTTTAAGAATGTTTAACATACCTGAGAAGACAACGTGCTGCAGTTAATACATTAAGATTATCAAGGATAGATCCACCGCATATATGCGAGCCGTTTAATCTCAATGACGCTTGATACGGAAATTTGCCGACGGCAGCGTTACTGCCGCCAATAATTTGAGAAGACGGAGCTCCTTATTTATAAAAATTAATTAATATTAATACACGCGCTAAATAACATTTGTTATATTATAATGAGAAATTTACAACAAAAGACGCAAATCATTCTATCTTTGTCTTTCACTGAATGTTGTACAAAGACAGAACGACTGTATCAGCATGTTTTTCTTATTAGAAAGCATCCTACATAAATTTTTCACAACAATTAAACATAGTGTCGATTTTATTATGGCTAAATAAACTGGTTGAAAATATTAAATTTATTTAGAAGAAAATGTTTATAACTTATAAATACCTTCAATGGCGTATACAAGAATGGTAAATATAAGACAAGCGAACGTATGCATCTTTGGTCGTAAATTTCTTGTCTGTGACTGAAGCGGATAGATGCATTCGTAACTTTATATGTATATATATATATATATATCTGAAGCGATTGCAAGAAAGATAAATCACGTGTTTATGACATTTTCTGAATTTTTCTCAACACGGTATCACATGATTAAATATATTGTTATCTATTTTATATTAAACTCTGTTAATTGATAAACATGATAGTTTTAATTAAATGCATTTTTTACTATTGTAACCTTTCTTACAAGGGAACACAAACAAGTGTTTCACTCCTGTGATTTTAAGCTTTAGACATGTTAAAATGTAGACAAAAATAAGAAATACATAATTTTCTTGTAAGTGCGTTCTTACATATTAAGAGGGTGAAACGCTCGTTTGGAAATATTAAATTTTTTTTTCTAAATATTGTCTATTAAAGATATAAAAAAACATTCTAAATAAATGTTTTACAGTTTCAAGTGCAATTTAGAATAATGCATTTAAATTTTTGAAAATTTAGGATGGGGATGGAAATGTACTGAAAAACATGAACGCTAAAATTAACATGAACAAAGAAAACAAAATCATAAAAACATGAGAAACATGAAGTTAATAATGCAACAACTAAATAATATAAAGTAAAAAATATTAAATAGCGCGCGCAAAGTATATCATAATTAAGTACATCACTATGCAGTACATCATTACTCATAAGGAGTAAAATCAAGTATTATTTTTGCATTTTTATTTAAATTCACTGAAAATAAATCAATTTTATCATTAATTAATATTTTTACGCATAAAAATATTTTATTTTGTATTTTTATTACTTATTACTGACTGATAGCTGTAAAACAAGTAGTCAAGAGGTCAAAGAATGCATGTAATTGTAAAAGAGATTGGCTACTATTGAAGAGAAAGTTATTTTATTAATATATCAAATACATATGCACTTGTTATGTATGCAATACCACATGTATGATGACATGTAAAAATTAGATTTCAAAGATTAGATAATTTTGATTAGATACTCTCTAAAATTGAATCAGTGGAATCACACTAATTTTCAGACACTATCTTTTATAGTGATTGAAATCAGTATATTATCAATGAAACAACATTGAAATACTTTATTATTTATAACAGTTGTAAGTAACAAGAATACTGGGAATCAGTGCGATTCCACTGATTCAATATTGGAGAATATTTTAAGATCGTTAAAGTCATTTTAATCGAAATATATAATAGCTTGGAATCTTTGTATAAGACAATTGATTGTGAAATTTATATAATCATCTATTTTCATTCTTTTCTCTATGAAATATCTTATTATTCACATTCCAAAGAATTTCTTCTTTGCTGAATTTATCAAACGTGTTTGTAACAATATTATGCAGATTTATAAATTTTGCATATCATAAATCAAATAATACTGTTTATTGCGAATAAAGCTAGATTAATAAAAATAGTCTTTATATTATTATAAAAATAATAATTGATGTGTTTTTATATTGTTATTTGTATTGATAATTTATTTAATGATAGAAAAAGCATATATTTTACAGAAATAATTTGGCTCAAACTACACTATTAATTAAATTGTAAATTAGACAAGACCAAGTGGAATTTTAATAAATAAATAATATCTTTTAAGTCTTCAAATTTGCGGTGATCCGAGATAAGAAACTGATCACTCTTGTAAACGTCTGGGTCTCCACTCGCGCAATCATTAGTGAAGGAAAAGATTAAAATTTGAGTTACAAAAGAACCCATTAAGGAGCTACCACTATCACCCTGTGATTAGTGTTAAAATATTAATATTATATATGCGGCAGTGATAAATTGATTATTTCTGTAAATTATTGTTATAATAATTTTAATGTAAAAAATATCGTTATAATTAGATCAGTTTTTAGTATTATAATATGTACCTACTTTATATTATTTTTTCAGAGATCTATTAATAAATATGTATGTATCGATTTACGTTAAAATAGAAATTTAATAGGCATATAATTAAGCTTTTAATATTATAATCATATAAACTATTACTATTTTTTAAATATAATATTATAAATATATATATATGTGTATGGATTCGTTTTATGATATTAAGAATCGAGAAGGCTTACGTTACATGCTCCAGTACCGTTATTAGCAAAAGCGTACGAAGCGCAGATATGGCTATCTATCAATCTCCAGTATATTTTTTTGCACCTCTTCTGCAAATAAACTACCAACTCAATTTCTTGCAAACTATTAGACATATCTCCACCATGCTAAAAAAGATAATTGTATTAAAATGTCTTCTCACTTATTATTTCTGACTTGTTATTACATAATACATATATAACACGGAAATATAAAATTTCTTTAGAATGTCTAATTTCTTGAATATAAGTACATAATTAAGTTAAATTTTGATATAAATTTGATGTTACCTTTATAACTCCCCATCCGGATAACATGCACGGAAGGCCTTCGAGATTTTCATCGGATTTTGTAAGATTTATCGTAGTTGTACTACCTTATTGCGTTTGATAAAATTTTTATGGTAAATCAAGGCGATGTCATTAATAATGTCATAAATAATCGTCGTAATTTTGGTTGATGCTAATATCAGCTACGTATGTCATACATATCCTGATTCGTTTAAAAAGTTTGTGCCGACATGAATCTTTAGTTCATTCAGTAAACATTTCGATCTAGCAATAAAAGAAACGTATAAGAATCCATACTCTGTCAAGAACAGATTTTGAAATTGTCTGCTATATATTTTGCCGATAAAATACCAGTAGAAATATAACAGAATCTGCTAACAAAATATAATAAAAAATTGATTCCGGAAACCAAACAGAATCTGTCCCATGTAATCATTTAAATTATGCATTCCATTTAAATGTTTTTTGAAATGACAAATCTATTCGATTTCAGTCGGCAGTCAGATTATATCAGCATGATCTTTTTCTCTCTTGTTGGCGAAACGTGAATTTAATGTGTACGTATACTGATGTGTGTTATAATATCTGAATAAATTTGTTGCCATACTGTAAGCAGTTTGCTTACTGAATATATATATATATATATAGTTATCGATTTGATATATTAAAAGTTTAGTTTTACAATTCCAAAATAATGTATTGATATATTTTAAGAATGTTTATATATAACACACCTGAGGACACAATTTGCTGCAATTAATACATTAAGATTATCAAGGATAGATCCACTACATATATATTTGCCGTTTGATCTCAATGACATTTGATATGGAAATTTGCCGAAGGGAGCGTCATTGCCGCCAATAATATGAGGAGATGGAGTTCCTTATTTATAAAAATTAATTAATGTTAATACATGCGCCAAATAATATTTGTTATATTATAATGAGAGATTTACAACAAGAGACGCAAATCATTCTATCTTCGTCTTTCACTGAATGTTGAATAAAGACATGTTTCTTATTGGAATGTACCTACATACATGTTTAATAACAATTAAACGTCGTGTCGATTTTATGATGGCTAAATAAACTGTTTGAAAAATATTGGAAATTTATTTAGAAGAAAATATTTGTAACTTATAATATAACTTAAATTATATTATAAATTATATCTTTAATGGCGTATATCAGAATAGTAAATATAAAACAAGCCAACGCATGCATTTTTGGTTGCAGATTTCTTGCCTGTGACTTAAAGCGAATAGCTAGATTTATTCGTAACTTTATAGATATTTTTGAAACAATTCTGAAGAATTAAAGAAAGATAAATCGCATTGTAACGTTCTTCTGAATTTTTCTCACCGCAATATCGTACAATAAAATTTATTATCTATTATTATTTTATTATTATCTATATTTTATATTGTTTTTATTAATTGATAAAAGTAATTGTTTTAATTAAATTTGTATTTTTCACTGTTATAATTTTTCTTAGAGGACACAACCAAGTGTTTTCTTCCAATTTTAAGTTTTGAATATGTTAATATACGTATAATATATGTAGATAAGAAGCAAAAATAAGAAACATGTATTTTTTTATGAGTGCGTTCTTGTGTGTAAAAAGTGTTACTCTCGCTTAACAAACATCAGTTTTTTTCTTTCTAAATAAATATTGTCTAAACCAATAAAGATATGAAAAAATGGTCTAAATAAAAATTTTACAATTTCAAGTGCAATTTACAGTGGAATATTTGAATTTTTAAAAATTAAAAGTGGGAATGGGATTGCACTGAGAAGCATGATACTTTCAAAAATTCAAATATACATACGTTATCAACATACATTTGATACGTATGTGGTATTCCATATTTTGATACGTAAAAATAAAATTTCAAATATTAAACCTTGCAGATTACATAACAATTGTAAGAATGCATAACTGTTTTAATCACATATATAGTTCTGAATCTTATTTGTGTAAGATAATTGATTGTGAAATTTATTTGTAAATATTTAATTTTACACGTACTATAAAGTTTTCTATAATATAATCATCTATCTTTGTTCTCTGCTCTATCAAATCTTTTTTATTTATATTTAATTATTATTTATATTTCAAAGAATTTCTTCTTTGCTAAATTTATCAAACATTTTGTTTATACAAATTTATCATTTTCCCATAATTTAAATAAAATGATAAAATAAACCATTACTGTTGAAAACAGTCATTATAAAAAAGAAGAGTAATGATTGATTTTATTTTGTTATTTTTATTTTGTTATTTGTATTGACAATTTATTTAATCGAAAATATATATATTTTGCAGAAATAATTTGGCTCAAACTGTATATATTAATTAAATTGTAAATTACATAAGACCAAGTGAAATTTTAATATATAGCTAAATAATATCTTTCTTCAAATTTGCGGTGATCCAAGAGAGGAAACTGGTTACTTTTGTGTAAACGTCTGGGACTCCATTTCCGCAAAGATTAGTAAAGGAATAGATTCCAATTTGAACTTCATTTGCCACTAAAGGACCACCATAATCACCCTGAAATAAAGATATAATTTATAATATTAAGATTAATATTAATATTATATATACGGTAATAATAAATTATTTTTATTACTACAAATTATTATAA